CTGATTGGTACATAGCCACGTAAAATTCTTAGAAAATAAGATAAGGGTACATTATACTGACACCCCCTGAAATTTTTATTTAATACAAATCTCCTCCTTGCATTTAAAAAATTACATTTTTCTCCCTAAAGTTTGTAATCTCGTTACAAATTATCCTTTAGATTACTGATGTCATGTCCTAAAATTTTCTAAATAACCATTTTGCCTTTCTTCTTATCATGATGACTACATTTTACAACTTTCCATTATTAAATTTTACCTGAACATATTCTTATTAAGTGATGATATACAAACATAAATTTTATATATAATTTTTAAGCACAATGATGTAGCTTAATGGTGACCTTTCACTTTAAAAGAAAACACATATAAACATGATTTATATTTACAATAATATCACTATCACAATATTTTTATATATTAATATAATTTTCCATTTTTATTTTCACTATTATATCACAAAATATTATACTTCTTAAGTATATCTAAATTATGTGTGTCTAAAAAATAAATTAAAAAATTGCTTTAAATATTAAAAAAAATTCAGTAAAAAAAACACTAAAAATAAAAAAAAATAAAAAATTCAATTTTTTGTGTGAATTAAATTAAAGAATATGATTGTTATTTTTTGAAATGACATGAATAAAATATCTGTATTATTTTATTATTTTAAATATATAAAGATTAGGGGATAAATATATTATTTTATTCTGATAAAAGGGTAAGTCTAAATTTTAAAATATGAAAAGAGAATTTATATTAAACAAAAGTCTCAAAAATGTTAATATAATTTACCCATAAGGTAATTACTCGTACATTTCACTCATTATTTGCTATGTACTAATGTGGGACGGGTTTTAAAGCACATTCCAAACCAAACCAAGCCATTGTGAGCAATAATTGAAATTATGAAAGTGTCCAATGGCTCAAATTGTGTTGTAAGCCTGTATTTGGGGGATTCTATTTACACTTAAAAAATTATTAGATACATCTAATTTTTTAATATTTTTTATTAAATTATTTAGGATTGTAATTTATTCTCAATACGTTTTATATTTTTTTTATAAATTACTCTTTAATATAAAATGATAATTTATAGTACACCCAAATAATAAACGAATCAAAATCCTTAAATTAAACCACTTTCAAAACTCCTTAAACAAGAGTGATTACACCTATTCTTTTTGTTCACAATTGACACACCGAATTCTTTGTCTTTCACATAAGCCCTCAATACTACTTAGCTTGTGTTTGGGAAGCGTGGTTGAGGCTAAATTAGCCAGATGACGACAAACTAGGCTGAAATAGCCACTACACGACAAAGGCTCTCCAACGGGTGGGAGAGGAAACGTTGTTCGGGTAAAATTACGAAAACACCCTCAAACAAATCAGATCATCATTTCGCCCAACTGATGAATGAATCCAAAGGCACAACACAACCAAAAACCTAACAGACGAAGCGAAGGAGGCGATTAGTGGCTACCAGCGGCGACGACATCTGAGCCAAGCTTTTACACCCAAATAATAAACGAATCAAAATCCTTAAATTAAACCACTTTCAAAACTCCTTAAACAAGAGTGATTACACTTATTCTTTTTGTTCACAGTTGACACACCAAATTCTCTCTCTTTCACATAAGCCCTCAATACTACTTAATATGTTCTATGCATCTTTCTGCAGAACTGTCAGCGCAAAAAGTTATTTGATTAGCAAAGTAAATTTCAGGAGTTAACCAAGGGATTGTAGCATTATGGTAAGGCCTTGGGGTTTAAGCCCCAAGGTCACAAGTTCAATTTTCTCTTTGGGCCAATCTTCTGGACGAAGCACTGTTGGTTAGGAAGTTAAACCTCAAGTTGTCTAATCAGCACTTGGTGTGGGTTCAATGTTCCCCCGCTGTGCGAGTCCTGACTTAAGCGGAGCTTGTCTTGGAAGGTCGGGATAAGTTTTCAGGTTATAGTCTCCTCGCTCGGAACGGCTAACAGAACACCTTGGTGATCTCTGTAAGGAGTGCTACCTTGAACCTGCGGGAGGGTAGGGAGGATTTTCCTGTAACAAAAAAAAAAAAAAATTCAGGAGTCACTTTCATCCGGTATACCTATTGTTGTAGAGTTTTTTTAGTTTATGTTTCTTGTGCCTTTTGCCATCTTTGCTTTCTCATAGTACATTGTCCAGAAGTTTCGGAAAGAAAAAAAAAAAAGAAAAGAAAAACATTTGATATGAACATGATGGTTTCGAGTATTGATAATGATGATGATGATGAAAATCCGTGGATTCGAATGAAATAGAGATTGTGATGGGTTGGTTATATGGTGTAAAGTTTTGTAAATTAAATAAGACATTAATTGAAATTTTAGCCAAAAGAGAATGGATTTACATATTCTTCAGAGTTCTGAAACTTTTTGGCCATAGAAATCAGTTCTTCCAAAAATCTTAAAATCCTCTCAAGTTGAATACGTATAAGTGATTATGATGTATCAAGAGAAAAAAAAAATATTTATTGGAGTTTAATTTGTATTGTCCTTATTAATAAATTTACATTAAAATACAATAAAAAATAAAATTTCAAAATTTTAGTTAGGCATACTGAGTTATTGTTTGAATGTAAATCACCCCTGTATTTGATCCAAGCCAACATGAATAGCACCTCCTAGAAGTCGAAAAGCCCAGGCCTGCTTAAGAACCATTCAAAACTAGTACATAAAAACCATGGGCCATGGACCATCTCATTTATAATATTTGTTCCGTTAAGCCAAGTTTGGGCCTGACTTTCAGTGAGGCACAAAAGCAACATGACATCACGGGAGAAGCCCAAGCACACAGAGAAGAATTTGATATTGGGCGTATGGTGGCCGTGGAAATCTTTTTGAAATTGGGTTGTGGGCCTGGAAATTCAATTTTAGGCAAATTACTTGAAGAGCAGTGATTGGCACCCCAGTACGGAGGCACCCCGCACCCCCACCTCCACGTAGGGGGCTATGGACCAAGGGAAAGTAAAAAAAAAAAAAATTTCAACCAATCACATGCTGCCACATCACTGGGGGTGACTGGGGGTTCTTCAAAACTGGGGTTCCAAAGCATTTTTGATTACTTAAAAGTCATATTTAAAAGAGGAGAAGTCTATTTAGTCCCACAATCTTTTGAATATTCTCAAAAGTCCACTACGTAATTTTCTTCTTTATTTTTGTCGGTGCATTCGTTATTCTCTGCCTCTTTCTCTTCTTGATTTCCAGATTCTCTTTCTCTTTTTAACATATAGTCACCAGCGACTGACGACCATCATTAATTGGGATTCACCGGCAACCACCTACCACTAACTCCTTACTTCACCCTCAACGACAATGAAGGAGATAAGTTTCCAACGAAGAAGATAAATAGATTTATATGAGATCAGACTAGATCCAAACCAAAAATAGTTATCGGAGTATAATCTTATCTCTATATCTGTTTCTCGCATTCAATCTCTCAATTTTTCTACATTTTCTCTGCTACACACTTCTATTTTAATGTTTTAATGGAGAAAATTTTCAAATTCTAAATAAGTTATTTTCGAGTTTTAGTTACGGGCAGTGAAAACTGTAAAATTTTATAATTTCGATTTTTTTTTTTTGGTCTTGAAATGAATCTTGCTTTAAAATTATAAAAATTTATAATTTTAGTTTTTTTTTTGTGCTGAAATGAATCATTCTTTAAAATTGAAAAATTTTACAGTTTCATAATATTCTTTAGAATTATAAATTTTTTGCAGTTTCATAACATGTTTTACAGTTTGATTAATAAGGATAAATGTTTAATAGAATCATACTTTGAAAGTGTAACATTTTACATTTTTAAAGCTTGTTTTTCAGTTTGATCAATTTTAGAAATTATTTGCGAGAACCCTACAAAAATTGAAAAATAATATATATATTTTTTCCTAATGTTGTTGTTTGTTGTTGTTATGTTTTTTTTTCCCCTTCAGTTTATCAATCACTACAACAAAAAGTAACCTATGGTGACGAAAACTAGTGAATAAAATAAATTCCATCACTAGATAAGAATGATTCGTGAGGAATTTATAAATTTTGTCACATATAATAAAAAAAATAAAAATAATAGGTGACGAAATTTATTTTTGTCAGTAAATACTTCCTTTTAGGTGAGGAAAAATTAAATTTCGTCACCAAAACTTTTCCCGCTAATTTGTTTGGGTGGCACCAAAATTTTGGAACTTTTGGTGAGAAAAAAATTTGTCACTAATTATAAAATTATTTGTGAGGAATATATTTTCGTCATTAATAATTTTTAATATTTTTAAGATCTTTTGGTGAGGAAATAATATTGTCACTAATTTTAGTGGAAAAATTTTGATGTATCAAATGACAAAAAAATAAAATAAATAAAATAAATAGGGTATTAATTTTTTTTACCACTTTTCTATTTATCATCTCTCTCACAAAATAGGGTTTTACTTTTTGTTTGGCCTTTTCTCTGTTTTTCCTTTTTTTTTCTTTTTGTTAATCAACTCTTTCTCTCTCTCTCTCTCTCTCTCTCAAAACAGAACGCACGTAATACCTCTCCGTCATAGCCTTTCCACCATTGCTCTTTGCTCTCGTTGCTCCACCTTCAACGCCTATACTATAGTCGACCCTTCTTGTATAAACAGGGCTCTATTCTCTACATCAAACCCAGGTACTTTTTTCTATTTTTTTCTTGTATTGCATCGATTTAATTGAGCTACAATTAGGGCACTCAGATAGTCACAACCTCACCACCATCATCAACCAACACAGCCGAACAATCCTTAAAAGGACAGTAAAATTTCTGAGAAGCAAGAATGATCGATTCATACAGTGCATTTTTCCACCGATCAAACACTAATTTGGGTATAATGAGACGACAGGACTCGAGCTGCAAAACGCCTTCACAATTCAATTCTGGACACGTCACCATCGATATATTCTCTTGAATTTTCACTGCGACATGTTTCGCAATGCAGTCTGAGCAAAACAAATGGGTATAACTAGTGTTGTTTTCAAACATTTCTGATTTTTGGGTTTTCAATCTTCACAAATTTATTTGAACAACATAATCTGGCTTTATTGTTAATTTGGATAAAAATTTGCTATTTTATTTGAACAGAAATTTCGTAAATATATTTGGGTTTACTTTATTTGAGTTAAGAAAGTGAAAGACATTGATCTTGTGACTACAATGAAATGAAAATGATAGAAAATGATGAAGATTTGAGGAAGAAAACCGAGAGAGAGAGAGAGAGAGAGAGAGAGAGAGTTGAATTTTGCTTTGGTTTCATTCTATTCTTTGAAGAAAAAAACAAATTTTATCCTGTGTGAGTGCTGGAACTTTTACTTTGACTGTCACTACTGTGGTAAAAGTGTGGCCTTACTTATGCCTATATCTATCACAAGCATGTTTGAATCTTTCTTGCTCTATGGATATCTATCTGTTTAGGTGGTTTATGATTGTTAGTTGTTGTTGTTGTTGTTGTTGGATATCAATTATGAAGATTAACAACTCTTTTAGATATGTGCTCTGTTGGTGTTGTTATCTTTAATGTCTTTTATGTGATTTGGTGGAATTGTTGTTAGTGTATTGGTTGGTTCTTTCTTTTTTTTTGAATTTCTCTTGTAAATCTTTTTATTGTGAATATATATATGGTGACAAAAATTAGTGAAGAAAACAAATTTCATCCTAAAAAAACTATAGGTGAAAATGGAAGAAACAAAAGACTTTTCAGGACTAGTTTTGAGAAACCCAAAAGAAAAGAGGCCATTCAAGTGAAGTACCCTTCTCCGAATGAGATGCTCTCACAACTCTCTATGTCTGCCAGAGATCCAATGAAAAACAACTTGTTGCTTTCTAGTGTTAGTTTTTTTCTCTAATTTCTGGAATTCATTGTGCCTAGAGAATTCCATTTCACAAGAGCACAAAAAATTAACCAAGAAAGTGTCTGGCAAGCATATTAGGAAAAAATTATCTAAATCGAAAACTACAGAAACATCTGTGGTTAAGGTTATGGAAGACTCTTATTGGACTGACATGATTGTTCAAAGCAACACCAAAGAAGAGCATATACTAGTTAAACCTAAGGTCCCAAACAAAAAAAGTGCCCCACTGTTGAACCAGAAGCAGCTCTTGAGTTGGGTATACAATTGGATTATAAACAGGAAACTACTGTTGTGGATTGTCAATTGAAGGGAAAATCAGCAGGTAATATAGATGAGAAATGCGAGGAAGAGGAGACTCCAACCACAATAATTCTGAACTTCACTACAGTTTTTGATTTACTTGTTTATTTACTAGTTCAGAGTCCTCCAGGTTGATGGTTCAGCGGTTGAGGAAAGATCCACTGAATTAGGTATATATATATATATATGTATATCGTTTTTTTTTCTATATGTTATTTAACTCAAAACTTGAGTAATTTTCTTGCCTTACAAAAGTATGAATGACTAGTGAAGAGCATGGACATGTGGCACTCCAAGAGCACCCAATAATTTTTCCTTTGAGAATCAATTGCTTGTACCCTCCATCATTTATTTTGGCTAGGGATGCTATCTACATTGTGGGAGTTCTCACTATTTCCATTTATATCTATTTTCTCTTATAGATTCTCAAGCAACATCCTCTGAAAAAAATGTTATACCTCTAACTTTTTGAATGAGAGTTGCAACAGCAATAGCTCTTGGTGCTGCTGTTGTGCGTGCCAAGTTATTGGCAGATCAGGAAGACCAAGAAATAGAATGTTTAGTGGCAACCATTATCGAAACACAAGTAATTGTACATTGTTGTTTCTGTAGTTTGTTAAGTACAGATGACTTCTCTGTTGGATTATCATCAATTTTTCTTTACTTGAATAAATTTTCGTTTCAAAAGTATGGGCCTTGATGTTTGTGCTTTTGCATGAATGGATAAATATATAGTTGAAGAAGTTGCAACGCAAAATCAAGCATTTTGATGATTTAGAGCTTATAATGGAGAAGGAATACACCCAACTGGAGGATATAAAAGAGTCTATGATAGTGGAGTGGATGAATGTTTTGCACAAAGTATTCAAAGTAGGGACATCTAGATGGAAGGATCAAACTTCTGTAGAACCACCTTAGACAGGTAGTGTACTTTGATTGAGTCTAACTTGAAAATTCTGGTCCTTTTAGATGTTTATTATGTTAGGAAAAGAAAAGGGGAGATCCAACATAAACCTGCTGGGCTTCTAGTGTAAGTAACATGTTTAGTTCTTCATTCTCAAGTAGACAGAACTTGCTTTTGGATGTCAATTCATTTGAGAACTATTGTGGATGATTCTTGTTGATGCTAATGGTTATATTTCAAAATGTTATGCTCTTCCATGTAGATATAGTGAAAAAGAATAACTATGTGTAATGGTTTTGGAACAATTTGTGTCTATTTTTTGCTTATTTAGACAACCTGAAGCAACTCTTGAGTTGGGTATACAATTGGATTATAAACAGGAAACTGCTGTTATGGGTTGTCAATTGGAGGGAAAATAAACAGGTGACATGGATGAGAAATGCGAGAAAAAGAAGACTTCGACCACACTAATTCTGAACTTCACTGACTTGGAGTCTGTCCCTTCCGAATCAATTCTCAATGAGATATTTAGCCACTATGGACCTTTGAATGAATCAGTCATCGAGGTCATGAAGAAGAGCAAACGTGCTAAAGTGGTCTTCAAGAGGCGTTCTAATGTTGAAACAACTTTCAATATTATTGAAAAAATTAGCATTTTGGGGCCTTCACTAGTCAATTACCGCCTTAATTACTCATCTTCTACACCGTCTAAAACTTCTACTTCTGCCACAAAGCGAGACAGAAAGGGTGCAACATCTGTGGAAGAAAATACTACTTGATAATTGATGCAGATCAGTTTAGGTATTCACATGACACATTGGTACTGCACTTCATTTCTATGTTCGCCTTTTTAGGAAACCCATTGCCCCCTTGGGTACATATTTGTTACTGGACAATTGTATGCAAATAGGTAGGATGGAGCATTCAACTTAGTTATCCATTTAGGCATCCTTAGAATCCTGACTCGTCAATATTTTCTAACCATGTTTACTCATTTTGATTTCACTGTAAAAAAGAGTTTTGAGTTTTTAGTTGTTTCTGTGCGTTTTGTAAATATTTTCTGCCTTGAGGATTTTTATAGACCATTAGAGTGAGAACTTCAGAAGCTTGAATTGCTTTCTTTCTAAATGGTTTCCTATGATAAAATGTTTAGATAGTCTGATACAAAGTAGTTAGGCAGGAGATGAATTTATTTCAAATTTGGTAGTTACCTTGCAGTTGCTTGGTGAATAGAGTGCTTTACTAGGAAATAAAACTGGCAGAATATTTGGTTTCTTGATTAATGTTTCATTTATGACTAGACTGCTTGATGACAATGAAATTCAGTGGCCTTTGATATAACTTGCCCTTGATGACTTGCCAGAAATTCTGTCATAATTTGTTTGTTACAGTTTCAACCTTTTATCGTAATTTATAGATTTCATTGTGGCTTTTATGATGGGGAATTATATTCAACCACTTTATATTCACACTCGTCAACACTTAATGGCTGATTTCTTAGTTCTAGTTTTTGCAACCGTTCTCAAAATACCCCAATTTTTTTTTATCATTTTTTAATGTACTATGTTCATTTATTTATACACTGCATAATGTCAAAAGCTGAGTAGCAGCTAATAATTGGAAAAAAAAAAAAATCAGACAAGCGCAAATGGGGGCCAATTGCCAGAGTTGCCATGTGTTTACAAATCCACACACTTTAATGATGCCACAAAGCAGTGGATTTCTCTGAAGTGCGAAAAGAATTATGTATGCATATTTACCTTTTGTATTATGATGATTGCAATTTTTATTATATCTTTATTCAATTTTCTATTTTTTTTAAATGATAGGATAATATGATAAAGATCCAAGCTGAACATTACTCCCAACCTAGTATCGTTCCAATTACTTCAGAGGAGCTATCTGTGAAGGTGCTCAAGCGAAGGTCGGGATATGTTAAAGGACTTGGGTTGAGGCCTTCCTTCTCTGTCAAGACTACCAGTGCTTCGACTAATAGTGACTATGTGAGGCATCTAGAGATGGAAATACAAGAGCAAAAAGACAAAATTCAGTCACAAAAAGGGGAAATTACATCACAGAAACATGAAATTCAAGCACGAAAAAAAAGAAATTAGTGTGATAGGGAAGATGAATGAGTCGCTTGAGGGGAATTTTGAAATGACATCATACATCACGGAATTTCTTAAGAAGCAAGGTTTCAAAGGACAATTTAGAGGAGAAGGTATCCCATGAACTCGTAGACCACCATTTTGGTAAGTCTCGCTTGTTTTATATTTTTATTTTTCTAATGTTGGTTAATATATACTAGTTAAAGCACAACAGTTTCACTAATTATTAACTAAGATTTAACAAGTTTGAAGATGTATTTAATTAAAATAGATTCATTAGTTACTTCTTACTTAGCATGACCCTTGTGAAAATTACACACTAACCAAAGTAGAGACAAAACTTTGTATTTTTGCTAGGCAGTGTTGAAGTTGCTCTAAGTTAGTAATGTGATTAATAGGAGCTTGCCATGTACACAAGAACTTCTGGTTGTTAAGCTAGACTCATTGTGCACGCAATTTGTTTTGACATGGATAGAGAGGTCTATACAATGTAATTAATAATATGTTAATGTTTTTCTTGTTTATTTTCTTTGCAGATTGGTTTTTGATGACGTTTAGAAGCATACTTGCAAATCAAGATCAAGTGTTGAATTTTTATTTTTATTTATTTATTTATTTATTTTTATTTTTTTGTGAACTCGACGTTAGTTCATTTTGGGATTTTCTTTGATGATTTTTTTGTTATACTTAATGGATTATTATTAAAGTTGTTTGATGGATATATTTTGATTTATAATATAAATTGTTTAGTGAATTTTTTTGTGAAGTGATGTATAATAGGTAGTGGATTTCTTAGTACATTTAAAAGGCTACTGGGATATGAGCAGGGATATTTGTAAAATAATAATTTAAATTGAAATATAAAATATGGAACAAGTTTAGTGACGAATTTGTTTCCTCATTTGTACTTGTTATTATGACAAAGTGATTATTCGTCGCTAATAAAAAAAATTTGTGACAAAATTTATTGCAGCTTATATATGAAAGCTTTCATTGATTTTGTTGTATGGTGACAAAATATTTCGTCACGTATATATATATATATATATATTTTGTCATGAAATATATTTCGCCACCTATGTATGACTTTTGGAGACGAAAAATTTCATCAACTTTACATCATATTGCGACGAAATTATTTCCTCATTAATGATCAACATGTGTGACAAATTTATTCCTCAACTAAAGTTATACATATGCTACTGAATAACTATTTTGTGACGAAAATGAGCATTTTTTGCGACAAAATATTGTTTTATTGGTGACAAAAAATTTCGTCACCGAAGTAATTTCATTGGTGACAAAATTACTTTTCGTCACAGTAGTTTTTAGTGACAAACAATCAATGACGAAACCGGTGACGAAAATATTTCCTCACAAATATCTATAGTGACGAAATTAGCTCTTTGGAGACAAAAAAAATTCGTCATCCAAGACCTAACTTGTTGTAGTGAATATTTGTACATTTTGCTATGTTTTTTCGCTATAATTTTTCTATTTATTTTTTTTTTTTTGCCAATATTCTGGACATTCCAATGACTCCTTGACTATATTCTTGACGTCCAACGAATATTCTGGATATTCCGACAACTTCCAGTGACGTTCAGAGCAATCCGACAATACTCCCGCGAACTTCCAGTGATACTTTGGAGACTTCTCGGTAATGTTGAACATTTCGGCAAGTTTCCGGTGACTGTCTGAAGGAAGTCCAACGATGGTGGGATGTAGCAACGTTTTTAAATTTATTATAAAAAAAAAGAAGATTTTTTTTGTAACAATTAAAAATGGGAGAGACTTGTTGTTGGGCCGTGAATTTGTTTTAAAAAAATCACTAAATACCAAAAATATAAAAAAATACCAAAATTCAGTATATTTTTCATATTTTTTGTGTATTTATTAATTTTTTAAAATATTTTTTCATAAATATTTTACTATTTAGATACATTTAAGTAATGTGCATCTAAAAAAAAAAAAAATAAATAAATTTCCTAGTGTTTGGAGCCATCTAAATGCGTTGTTGAATAGTTGATTTAATTCAAGGGTTTTAAAGAATTCTAGATTAATCTTTTTAGCAAAAAAAACAGGGGGTAACTCTGCGTTTTGTGTAACACCATATTTGTGAAAAATGTTTACAAAGCTTTTGAGTTTTCGTATGGAAAATGCAAGATTTATTCCGGAACGTTAACGTTGAGAATTTGAACATCTTTGAGAAATGCCTCTTGAATAAGAAAATGTTTTCTTATTATCTACTCTAAAGATTTGCTTTGGTCGTGTTGTTGAGTAGAGACTTAGCTTGAAGCACCAGTCAGTTATTGGTGAATTGTTTCGGGAGAGGTTTGGTTTGTTGAGGCTTGCGTACCTAAGGTGTTGTCATTTAGAATGTGTTCCCTTGGTTAGTCTCTTTCTTGGTAAGAGTGAGTCGGAGGTTTGTTTTGAAAGTAATTTCTTTCCTTGGGGCTCGGTTGTTGAATACTCTGTGATTAATTGGCCTTATGTTTTGGCGTATCCTTAATTTCGGGGACGAAATTCTTTAAGGGGGGGAGGTTATAGCGATCTCGGTTTTCCCTTTCGTGCTTAACTGTAATCCGGATTCGGTTTCGTAAGAGTGCTG